TAGCGATTACAAAAGCACTAGTTGTTACAGCACTTTCTTCTAGTAGTGAATTCACTTTTAAAAGTCAAATTCTTGCATATACATTGACGCAATCATGCATAGTACTATACCTAATCGAATGACACTCAGTTTATTTAAAGGTGATGAGAGGTTAAATGGAGTCACTAGGTTGATCAAAATAAAGCATTGCAGTTCAAAAACTGGAAAAACAAAGAGTGTTGTTAAAAGATCCAAGTGTCATTTCCTGAGAAATAAAGAATAATAGTTGTTTATTACCGGGGTGCTAACTTATTATTGCTAAGATATAAGATATTTTTCACTTCAGTTTTATATTCAATTTCATTTGCATTAAAGTTATAAACATTAAACTTGTACATATATGTAAACATATATGTATATATACACACATAACCACACACATACATGTATATATACACATACATATATATGTAAAACAGAATTTTATGAGAATCCTTGAGAGGAAGAATGTTGTTGAAATTAATGTTTTTAGAAATCAAAATACTATGATGTTTGATACTATCACAAAGAAAGTAAAAATAATTTGAGAAAAGTACATCCTGGTATACACAAGAGCATAGTAGAAAAAGAATACACTAAGGTGAATAATAAAGATGAGCAATGGTCTCAATGATTTATCAACCAACACATTGTTTCTTGTAGTAGATTACATTTCCATTCTTCATTTTTTAATCAGAAGGAGCAAGTGACTCCTTTGAACCACAAACGTTTAATAATTCCAAGCACTAGACTTGGCACAGTGGCTTATGCCTGTAATCCCAGCACTTTGGGAGGCCAAGATGCGCAGATCCCCTGAGGTCAGGAGTTTGAGACCAGCCTGGCCAACATGGTGAAAACCCATCTGTACTAAAAATACAAAAATTAGCCAGGTATGGTGGCGGGCACCTGTAGTCTCAGCTACTTGGGAGACTGAGACAAAAGAATCACTTGAACCCAGGAGGCAGAGGTTGCGGTGAGCTGAGATCGTACCACTGCACTCAAGCCTGGGTGACATGAGCGAAAAATAAAAAAAACAAAACTCCAACCACTGTAACATTTAACCATCAAATGTTAAATACATGTATTATGGGAAATTATATTGCTTTAGTTATTGTAGGCTCTAGATTCTAAGGACTACGTTTGTCATAGAAAATTAATCTTTTTCAATATTCTTTAAACAAAATCATTAGCCTTTGGATAATTAACCCACTACTACACACACACACACACACACACACACACACATACACACACTCAGTAGACAGAAAGCCAGCTAGATAGCTAGATGATTGACAGATAGAGATATATTACATATTTATATATTGTATGTATATTAATTTGTAAATATAATTTAGATCATCTTAAACGCTGTCTTGCCCAGCAACATTTACTAAGATTTAAAAGCAGAGGATCTAGAAACAAGTTGCCTAAGTTCAATTCTGATGCCATTAAGTCTTAGCTGTGTTGTTATCCTTCTTGTGGTTCAATTTCCTTATCTGTATACTTTGTATCATAACATCCTTCATTTCACTTTTGTAAGGAGCAATTAGAAAAATAACAATTTCACAGGAAGCATTCAATATCTGTTAGCTAATATCATTATTATTTATGAAAAAGCTACAGGCAGTTTATGTCTACTTTTCTCTGAAATCTTCTTAAAATAAAGGATGTCTTTAGCATACTCAATGAAAATACACTGAAAATTCTTGTTCTTCTATGCTGTTCACTTGTTAAGGTCGATGAGTACATGAACGGGCTAGTAAGTGCAAACATCAGTCATGAGTATGCTGCTTATTTCATCATTGTTCATGAGTACAGGTTAAGCATATCTACTTGCTTCATGTCAATACTCAATGGATTCTACTAAAAGAGGAAATAAAATGAAAAAATGCTACAAACTACTACATTTGCTACAGACTGCTACAGACTGCTACATTTGGGCATTGAGAAGAAGTGAATTCTGTCATGTATTACAACATGGATGACATGTTTTGAGGACATTACGCTAAGTGAAATAAACCAGTCACAGAAGCACAAATGATGTATGATTTGTCAAATTCATAGAAACAGAGTAGAATAATGGTTTCCAGGGTCCAGTGATGGAGGAAATGCAGAATTGCTTTTTGATGGCTATTAAACTTCAGTTTATTTAAAATGAAGAAGTTCTAGAATTTTGCTGCACGTTTGCATATAGTTAATAGTATACTTAGAAATTGTTAAGAGAGTAAATCTAATGTTATGTGGTTTTCTTTCCACAATAAAAAAATTATAACAATAACCGAAAGAGCAATAACGTATGACAAAACGAAATGAGAGGAAAAACAAAACACACGCACATACATACACATACATGTACACACACAAAAATACACAATGGGGGCCGGGCCTGGTGGCTCACGCCTGTAATCTTAGCACTTTGGGAGGCCGAGGCAGGTGGGTCACCTGAGGTCAGGAGTTCGAGACCAGCCTGACCAACATGGAGAAAACTCGTCTCTACTAAAACTACAAAATTCACTGGGTGTGGTGGTGGCACACACCTTTTATCTCAGTTACTCAGGAGGCTGAGGCAGGAGAATCGCTTGAACCTGGGAGGCGGAGGTTGTGGTGAGCCAAGATTGTGCCACTGCACTCCAGCCTAGGCAACAAGAGTGAAACTCTGACTCAAAAAAAAAAAAAAAAAAAAAAAAATACATACTGAGTTCCAAACACTAATGCTTCTGAAATATTTATTAGGTGAAGAGAAGCATTATTTGGCAAATTTGCATAAAATATTTCCCAAACATATGTCCCCCTTTCAGCAAAACATGTCTTTACAAAGAGATTTCCTGAAATCTATTATCTTGCATGTATCAGTAGCAACATTAATCCACTTAATTTACAAAAAAGGCAAATATTATGTTTAGTATATACATATATACTTTTTTCATTCTAATAAATATAGACCCATTTTGTAATTCTAAAGTTTTACTCTTGTTAGAGGTTTTTGTGAAAAATAGGAAAAGTATGTGTAGCTATGAATGTCAAAAATAAGACATTTGTTTTTCATTTCCTACAACTGCGAGATGATGAAAAATGAATTTATATATAAATATATTCATGGTGTATACTATATTTATAAAACTCCACAAAACATCAGTCTTTAACTAAATAGTGAAACCATGTATTCCAATATTTCACAGCATTCGCCATAGTTTTCTGTGCAACTGTCGAAGTGTTCCTTCTTTTATCTTCTGTTAAAATGCTTTATGGAGATTAAAGCTTAACTTCAGAACTTCAGAGTAAGCAGCAGAGAATGAAATAGCTTGGAAGAGACAGAGATGTGCAAAATCATAAGCTGTTTCTAAAGATGTATGGCAAAGCACAGGATTGAAAATTGAAGTTGAATGTGGCAACTTAACAGACACAGAAGAGTTTTTCTTTATACAGTACATCCAAATTTCTTTTAGAAGATGTTTTTTGAAAGAATTCTGGTGACGGAAAAATTATTTGAAACTTGGAAATAAGGCAAAAATATGGGCAGCAAGTCCACTCGATGTCACATGGTGATAATGGCCATCTGAAGATTATGTAAAGAAATGTATTTAATTTGTATTAAATCTTAATGAATTTATATGTATATATAAGAACAAATGAGTTGAATAAAGTTTACAATTATTGTTTTTATAATTTCATAATTTCATAAAACACTTGAATGTACCTTTTGGAAACTTATACTTACACTGCCAACTGTTACGGGATATTGTGAAAATATTCATATGGAAATAAACTGTTTTCTCCTGACAAATCCAGTATATTCTTAGGCACATGTCTTTTAGGTACATGTCTGCCTGAAAGTTCTCATACTTTGAGAATAAAATCTGATTGGATTAAATTCACATTCTCTGGGAAGGAAATGGCCTACAATTCTTGACACCTTTATTTCTGAATTTAGATGGATAACAATAGAGACATATTATTCAGCTATTGACACAATTTCTTAACATCTAACTTTATCAGGGCAAAAGGTATTTCTTTATTATTTAACAGATAGGATACTATTATATACAGCCTATCATACACTTGCAAGGTCAGAAATGGGCCTTTGTATTTTATTAATGTTTTGGACATTTTTTTATTTGAAGATAGGAGAAATTATTCATTCCGTCAACTTAAAAGGCATAACACAGCAGTATTGATTGAAAATAGAAGACATTTGACGAAAGATAAGAGTTAAAACAATTCATACCTTAATTTAGGCATTTATTAAACTTTCAAAATGCACTAATATTATTTGACAGAAATCATTTAGTTCTGCACTTGCCATTGATTACATTAAGGTTATAAAACTTCAAAATGCACTAATATTATTTGACAGAAATCATTTAGTTCTGCACTTGGCATTGATTACATTAATGTTCTCTACAGCTTTTTAAATCTCTCAATATAATTCTAAATATAAACCTGCTAAATAATGAATATTGGGGTTTAATATTCATGACGTTAATCTCCTCCAAAAATTAAACCTTGAAATCAAGTTGTCTCCTTTCAAAAGCATTGTTAGGAAGTTAAAAATTTGACTAAATAAAATAAATTGATTTTTTAAGACAAAATAATGGTCAATTTGATTGAAGTTTTACACTGAAACATTTGTTTTGTTGTACTGATAGAATTTTCCAAGTGAATATAACACATAAAATAGAGAAATAGTAACTAAATGGGAAGAATGGTATATTTTTAAAAATCAAATTTTATATAAACATTGGAATTTTATCTTTCATCTAATTTATCAGTATTTTAATGCACCTTACATTTGGCAATTTGGTTTTACCAATTTAATATTTCAAAAAATGTATATAATTAAAACACCATAAGAAAAAATTTGTTCACACAGCCTTTTTCATTATTTTTTTGAAATTTATAGATGACATGTTCATATTTATCTTTAAAAAATCAGATTAAAAACCTCAAATTGGTTTCATCTATGACTGGAACTAATGCTGAACTTAATGCCTGAAGTTGCTTCTTAACACATGCATTTCTCTATGTTTCTGTTACACGTTCTTCCTCGCTTCTATGGTTCATTACCCCTTCATTTGATAATTCAGCACTAGCCTCAGCATTATTCTCATCATGTTCATCATGTTCGTTTTCTGTCGGAGGAATGACTGGTGGTGGAGGTGGAGAGGGGGTAGACATCACAGTTTTTAACTCTTCTTTGGTCTTTTCCAAGTCTTCCTGGGTTGCAAAAGCTTTGTGTTGCCACTCAGTAGCTTCCTCTTCCTTTTTCTTCTTGGCTTCTTCTAGAAGTGCAATCTTGGCAGTGAATTCAGCAAGTGCTGCTAGCTGCTCCTGATTCTTCATCTGGTCGGCAGCTTGTTTTGCTATGGCAGACTTCGCCTCTTCAGCAGCTCAATGCTCCTTTTCAAGCCGCTCTGCTTCTTATTTTGCTCGTTTTCATTTTTGATCCAGTTCTAGAGCTTTTTGAGTCTGTTCTTCTAGTTCTTTCTGGGCTTTAATTGTCAGTTCTTCAATTTATTTTAGACGTTCCATTAGCTCTTCCTTTTCACGTTCTATTCTTTCCTTTTCCTTTTCTGCTATTTCTCTTTTCTTCTTTTCATTCTCTAATTGTGCCCTTTCCAACTGCTTCTGATGTTTCTCCTCCCTAGCCTGAGCCTTCATCTGTTGTACTTTAATAGTATCAGGCTTCCTTCTTTGCATGTATAGTTCATAGTTTCCCATATATAAGGCCAAAATCCCCTTATTGATTCTCAGACGAGGTGCATAAAAAACAAAATCAGGTGCCTTTTTGTCTATTGGCTTTATAACAAACTTTTTGTCATTAAATGAAATATTTCTGATTTCACTCCAGGGAAAATCAATTTTAGGTGTTAACTTGTCATCATGCTCATAAACATTCAGACTCAAAGCATCAACATCTAGCCACAATTCAGTTCCCTTTTTATTTTTATTCTGATATTTTTTATTTTATTATTTTTCTTTTTTTTTTTTTTTTTTTTTTGAGATGGAGTCTTGCTCTATCACCCAGGCTGAAATGCAGTGGTGTGATCTCGGCTCACTGCAACCTCCACCTCGCGGGTTCAAGTGATTTTCCTGCCTCAGCCTCCTGAGTAGCCGGGATTACAGGCGCAAGCCACCAAGCCTGGCTAATCTTTTGTATTTCTAGTAGAGACGGGGTATCCCTCATGTTGGTCAGGCTGGTCTCGAACTCCTGACCTCATGATCCGCCCGCCTCAGCCTCCCAAAGTGCTGGATTAAAGACATGAGCCACCACGCCCGGCCCCCTTTTTATTTTTTATTTCAAAATAGTTGACACCATATATTTCTAGATCTTGTGCAATCTTCAGCTATTCCATCAAAGAATCCTCCCTTAGCATTACTCTATGTTCTTCATGCCCGTTCTGTATTCTTTCTTCCCACTGTTCTTTTGTTAGTTTGTGTTGTTCCAATACATGCTGAGGTAGGAGTCTATCATTAGCCAGGTAGCCTGGCTTATGAATCTCTTTATTATAATCTCCACACTTGGCTTGGATTGCACAGGAAGCCAAAATAACTGCTGCTTCTGGCAGGCAATACATTTCATCCTTTAAGATGGCTTCTTAAACTTGCAGGAAGAGTCTCTGGATTATTTCTTGAATTAATTCCTCAGAAACATCTTCAGGAAAAATTTAGCTCTAAACTTGAACTGTAAAGGATTCTCTTTTTTAACGTCTTGCTGTGTCACCTTTTTATTTAGTTTAAGCCATATAGGATAACCTTTGCTGTCTACATACAGCAGCCCAAAAAACCAGACCTCACGCTAACCAACTGTTTTCACCACCTGGTCAAAAAGTTGTTTGCCAGTTGTATTGGGCACATAGTGATGTTCTTCATGCTGAGAATGTTAAAGCAGTTCGCGGTAAGTACAAGAGTCTGCAACAGATTCGACAAGGCAATACAAAGCAGCGTATCGATGAGTTTGAAGCAATATGAGAGCTGTTATTTTGCATATATGTTCTGCATAAGCTGAACCACCAACAGAGAAAAGCAGGCCTTTGCGGATATGATGGAATGCATCCCACTTTGTCAAAGCACTTATATCAGTTTGACTGTGCTAGCTAAAAGACAAATTTAAGGGGAGCTCTTCAGCATTAAGGCAGTATGATATCATGCTTGGTTTTCTTTTACTTTTGGTCCAGGGAATGGAGAATGGTATTTCATTGCCTCCTTTCACATTCTTTCTTTTTCTTTTTTTTTTCTGTTGAAGATTAACACTAATTAGCATGTCTGACAAATGCATATGTGTGGTTTCAGTTCTATGTACATTTTAAAGGATAATGGTGAACATTTTAATGGGTTTCCCTTGCCTCTTCCATATTTAACCTGTATATATTTCCACATTCTGTCTCACTCACATTTTCTCAGTGTGCCCTTCTCATATCTGCCATGCCCATAGCCATAATTCCACCATCATACAGATCAGGCAGTGTTTAAAATGATGGTAGGTAGCAGAGTGGACAGTCTTGGATCATTATGCAGAATAAGCCTATGAATGATGAAAGAGATTAGAATATTTAATATATGTGCAGCTGGTGGTTAGTTTTTTAAATTCAAATTTAATTACCTAATTGGATATTTGATATTTGGTTATCTAATCACAGTCATCTTTAACAGCTACAATGATTGGTGTATTATCTCCTGTAATCCTCTGATGGCTTTTTTTGCCTACCGTTTCACAGAGGTTTGGACAGCAGTAGTAGTTCCCTAGGACAGTTTATTGATGAAACAGTCTCTGTAAGAGTTTTAAAGTTTTGTTCTTTTTAGACTGATTTAGAAAAACAGATGATTAATAAAAGAAAATACACATTTGTTGGTAACTGATTTTAATTATTTTTTAAAACCTGGACCTTTCTAGAAGGGCAGCATATAAAAATGTCAGTCCTGAGGAGGGGACAACAATACTACCTCACTACTACACCCACGATGACTGGTTGTTCAAACACAATGGAGTGTGTAAGCTATATGTTTTATAATTCATAATGATAATCTCAATCACCGAGAAATACTTTTGAAATTTCATTTTTCCTCAGAATATCTTAAGAGTGCTAAATTTTTAGCTGCCTTTTTATTGAGCCAAACTGTGGGAATCTGATTTGCGTTAAAATTGTAAGCTCCTCACTGGTATACTGTCATCCTGGAGGGGTGCTGTATGGCTGAGGAAGAGTGAGAGAGAGAATAAGAGAGAGAGAGTGTGTGTTTATGTGTGTGTGTGTGTGTGTGTGTGTGACAGAGAGAGAGAGAGATGCTAATCTTGTAGCATATGAAGAATGTCTGTACTTTGATATGATAGTTACATAATCAATTTAGTATATTTGGTTTCTAGATCACTGTGCTTATTTTTTTCAATATCTAATTAAAATACTTAAATTTGGTTTGTTAATTCTATTTTAGAAATTATAATTTTAGTTTATATTAATTTCAATTATATCTTACTGAAGAAATCTTTCCAGTTAGGAGGCTCTAATATTCACATGTTCTAATACTTTGTTTATTGTAAAACAGCTAAATTTGGAGACACGTAAAGCCTTGTTTACTCTATGTGGTTCAGCTACTTTCCATTTGGTATTACACACTCAAATTTACATTTATCTATTAAAATTGCCATTTTATTAAACATTTTCATGCACAGTAGATTCAAGTTGTGTCTGAAAATAACGCTTGTGCTTTTTTGATTTTGCTGACTTTGAAACGATTAATTTGGGCAGACATTATGAAAAAGAAAGGTTGCATTTAATATATTTTTTGAATTTTGTAGAACAAAACATAGCTGGTGAACCTTAAAGTGACTGTTGTACCACGGTTGTGCACATGCTTCAGAATCCTATGGAAGAGAATGTTTCGCAGTACATCAAAGGAATGGATGGTGGACCCTACTATTCGTGTTTTGAAACATAAATGTTCACTTTAAAGAAATTGCCATAATAGATAAAAACCTGAACTTTCATTGGATTTCCTCATTTAGAATTATGTGCACTACCATGGCTACATCAGTTTGATACAGTATTGAAACATTATCAGATATATTTTGCTGTTTATGATCTATTTGTAGATTAGGATTAAAATGAATTTAATCCATTTTTTAAAGCTGTGTGAATTTTTCTAAACAAGAACCATTTGCAATATGGATTTTCTTTCGTTTGTTTGTTTGTTTGAGACGGAGTTTCGCTTTTGTTGCCCAGGCTGGAGTGCAATGGCACGATCTCAGCTCGCTGCAACCTCTGCTTCCCGTGTTCAGGCGATTCTCCTGCCTCAGCCTCCCAAGTAGCTGGGATTACAGGCATGTGCCACCACCCCCGGCTAATTGCAATATGGATTTTCAAAGAGATTAAACCAATTATAACTTATTATTAACAGTCTCGAGCACATGTTCATATAGTCAATGTAAAAATGCACTAATGAGTATTTGGTAAATCCCAGTAGGCTTTTACCATTAGCATAATTTTGTGTTGTACAATTAAGTTACAATTACATCTCTAATTTTGGATAATATTCATTGGTTAACAATAAAGTGACAAAAGCTTATGCCAAAAAAAGCCTCAAAATAATTGAACATATTTATGGTGTACAGTATGATGCTTCAATGTGTGTATATAACAATCAAATCAGGGAAATTACAATATCCATGACTTCAAACATATTTTTTTTGTGGTGACAACATTCAGTCTTCTATCTATCTTGAAATATATGCTGTATTATTATTTGCTGTAGTCACCCTACTGTGTAATAGAACACCAGAATATTCTTCCTGTCTAACTGTAACATTGTATCCATTGACCAACCTCTTCCATTCCCCCTCTCCTTTCTACCCTCCTCAGCCTCTAGTAACCACTATTTCACTCTCTAAATCTATAAAATCAGCCTTTTTATATTCCACATATGAGTGAGATCATGTGGTATTTGTCTTTTTATATCTGGCTTATTTCACTTCATATAATGTCCTCCAATGTTCATTCGTGTTGCCACAAATGACAGGCATTCATTCTGTTTTATGACTGAGTAGTATTCCATTGTGTGTGTGTGTGTGTATGTATGTATGTATGTGTATATATGCACAAATCAGGGAAATTACCATACATATGTATATGTACATATACAGATTTTCTTTATCCACTTATCTATAGATGGGCATTTGTATATTGGCTATTGTGAATAGTGCTGCAACAAGCATGGGAATGAAAATATCTCTTCGACATACTGATTTCATTCCCTTTGGATATATACCCAGTAGTGGGATTCCTGGATCATATGGTAATTCTATTTTCAGTTCTTTGAGGAACTTCCATCACCAATGGTGTTTCAGAGTTCTCGTTTCTCAATGGCCTCACCAGCATTTGTTATTTTTTTGTGTTTTACATAATAATCATTTTGACTGGGGTAAAGTAATATATCAATGTGGTTTTGATTTGCATTTTCCTTATGTTTAATGACGTTGAGAATTTTTTCATGTTATCTGTTGGAAATTTAAATGTGTTATTTTGAAAAATGTCTATGCAGGGCTTTTTTTTTTTTTTTGACTTAGTCTCGCTCTATCGCCAGGCTGGAGTACAGTGGCATGATCTCAGCTCACTGCAACCTCCACGTCCCAGGTTCAAGAGATTCTCCTGCCTCAGCCTCCCCAGTAGCTGGAACTACAGGCGCATGCCACCACGCCCAGCTAACTTTTGTATTTTTAGTAGAGATGGAG